TATATATATATATATATAGATATAGATATATATGTGTGTGTGCGTCTCTGTCTGCAATCTGCGTGTGTGTGTGTGGAATATATATGTATCCACAGGGTCCTCCCAATGTCGTACACTGCGGGAAGACGAATCTGTATGCGGCAAGTGCGATCGCTCTATATATATATATATATATAACTTCTTTTTGAGTTATTTACTTATGTGTGTGTGTGTGTGTGCCCGTATGTTTATCGACTTATATTTCTTTCTCATTGTTTACTGCCCGCACCCACATGCGTAGAAAGAGAACTAGAGAGAGAGAGACTGGCTCACGCGGTGCCAAACAACACGATACACGAACGAAGGACGAAAACAGCATAATCGAAGAAGAAAAAATGCGAGGCCACCAGCACCTCGGCGATCCATCCCTCACGCAGAACCAAGGCAACACGCTCGGTGACCGCCCATGTGTGCGGCAGAGCCGTCTGTACCGTGAGCACGTTGGCGGGAACGCCATGAAGGAACTCATGGGGCAGGATGGGTTGAAGTGGGACACAACACAGACACAAGGCGTCTATGCTGGTGGAAAGGCGTTCGACCACAACAATGCCCAGAAGAACTGCGGAGCCAACGGCAGTGGGGAGAAGGAACAGCAGGAGCCGCAGCCGCAACAACAGCAACAACAGCAGGAGCAGCGCCAGGATGAGGAAGTGGTGATTGCTATAGATGCGGCGGAGGAAAGTCCGTTGCGCGTGCAGCAGCCATCCGCCGCTCAGGAGCAGCAGAATCAGCAGACCGCCCCTCAAGCACAACAGCAGCAGGCACCGGGCGCTCAGCCTGTTGCTAGCCGTGCCTTCCGCCCAGGTGCCGGGTACGCCAACCGCCAGTCGTATAATATATTTACTGGCGAATAAGCAGAAGGCAATGCTGAGGTGAGCGATAACGTGGCGTGAAGCAATGCGCAGAATAAAAATAAAACAGAATTTAGACGACAAAAAATGCCCTTTTTGCCAACGACAATATCATCTCGCGTGGATTGAGAGGGGTACTCCATTTTAATGCTGCTCGTCCTTCGTCTTTCCCTCTCGCCCCCCCCCCCCCCNGGCGGACTTCCTCCAGTTATTCTCCTAGTCCTGGCGATGCTCTGTTTCGCCGTGAGTGTCGATGTGCCTCCGTCTGTGTCTGCTGCTGCTGCTGCTGCTGCTGTTTGTCACACAGACAGCAGCGAAAAGCCGTGAGGCCATATCCCCCACGCGTGCCTCTCTCCAGATGTACGGCAGCCCCGCGGGCACACGCATGCACATTCATTTACACTCTCACACGGTCCAGGTGAAAACGAGGGAACCAACAGCATGAGCAGGGGAGAGGGGAGAGGAAAAGGAAATACGCAGCGTAATACCTCCAATCCTCGTTTTGTTTTTTGTTTTCGTTATGTTCGTTCCGTAGCGAGAAAGGTAGAAATCAAGCGAAGAGCCGCACGATATCATTTCTCCTTTTTTTCGCTTTGTTTGTACAGCGCATATGCCTTTTTTTTTCGCGCGCGACTACGCGCAGGAGTGTGGAAAGGGGGGAAAGCAAAAGTGAGAGAGAGAGAGAGAGAGAGCTAGAGGGAGGGGGAGAGAGAGAGAGA